CAGGGTGATGCAGTGGATGTGATCTACTTGGATTTTGCCAAGGTGTTCGATACAGTTTACAGCAATAGGTTAGTGTTCAAACTAATGAAATTGGTCTAGATGAAAACTCTTCTTCTTAGATAAAATACGGCTTAAAGACAGAGTACAAAGAGTTGCTATTACTGGTAAATGTTCAAGCTGGGCAAAAGTGGTAAGTGGTGTTCCTCAGGGTTCTGTTCTGGGACTGCTTCTATTTAACATATTTATAAATGATCTTAAAATAGGCTTTGAAAGTTGTGTTTCGGTGTTTGCAGATGACACACATGAAAAGTAATATAATATGAGCAGGATATTAGTTTGCTGCAGAGATATTTAGATAGATTGGGGGACTGGGCACTCAAATGATGAAATGTAATGTAATGTAGGTAAAGAATGCACAAGAAATGTATACTGTAAAGGGTAGCAAATTAGGGATAACAACACATGAGAAGGATTTGGGAATTGTTCTAGACAACAAACTAGGCAACAATGTGCAATGTCAATCAGCAGTTGCAAGGTATTGTCATATATAAAAAGAAGCATTAATTCTCAGCATTAAAATATAATTTTGCCTCTTTATAAATTAGTAGTAAGACCACTGTTCTTAAGAAGGATATAATGGCACTAGAAAAAGTGCAAAGGCGGTTATAAAGTTAATAAAATAAATTTAACATTTTAGTTATGAGGAAAGATTGACAACTTTAAATCTGTTTGGTTTAGAAATATGGTAGCATTATTTAAATATATTCAGGGCCAATAGAAACCATTATCTGGAAATCTATTCATAAACAGGACTATACATATGACATTCATTTAGACTGGAAGAAAAAAGATTTAGTCTAAGGCAAAGAAAATAGTTTTTTTACAATAAGAGTAATACGGATGTGGGATTATTGCCTGAAGAGGTGGTTTTGTCAGAGTTTGTACATATCTATAAACAGCAACTGAATGCATACTTGCAACAACATAATATTCAGGGATATCATTTTTAAATTTTAATGACGGTTTTGTCAGTCTGAACAGATGTATAAACAGCAACTGGATACATACTTGCAACAATATAATATTTGGGGATATAATTTTTTTAATATCTTATTGATCCGAGTCAAGATCTGACTTCTATTCTGGGGTCAAGATGGAATTTTTTCTTAGTTTGCTGCAAAATTGGAAAGTGCTTCATACTGTGTTTTTTGCCTTCTTTTGGGGCAACAACACAAACAAATGTAAGAAAGGCTGAAGTTAATGGACGCATTTCTCTATATGTAATCATCCAGTACAGTTTACACACACACCTAATACAATACACGCATATACATATTGCAGATACACAATAGATCTTAAAGATATACACAATCACTCAGTGCAGTTTACACACACATAATACAATACACAAATATATTACAGACACATACACGTGTATATTTCTTAACATGTCAAATTGACAAAGTGGGGTACTTAAATTGAAGGGGTGTGAGTGGAGGTGTCCCAAAATTGGGCCAATCTCTTTTTAGAAAGGACACTTGGAAGGTATGCGCATACACAATTCATGTTTCAAATACACAAAATAACTCAGTATAATTCACACACACATAATATAATACAGACAATTCAGATATTAGTCACTGACTGTTGATTCTCCACCCAGCAGCCCAGTCCATATAGAACAGATAAATTCAACAAATATCTCTCTGCTCTGCCCAGTTCAGTATGAAAACAAAAAGTCAGGGACTGCACACGTTAACAAACAAGACCTTCAGCTGGTTCCACACATACCAAGGAGGAATGCATGTAGTGACATCATATCCAGCACTCGGTAACAGGGATTTAATATTTCCTAGATGTATTTATGAAGGGTCTTTAAATTATAAAAAAAAATAAAATAAACGTCTGTGTCGTCATTATTCCTATATAATATTTATTGTATGCTTTTTGTATGATACATTGATTTGTTGGTCATGGATTAAAATCAGATGATCTAACTTCATTGTGTCTAATGATAGGAACACATCTGTGAGTCAATGTCTATTTATTGTTTGCACTACATATATGTGATTTATTATGGCTTTATAAAGACTCTGTTTAAAACATTGCCTTTTCATCTCCAATAGTCTGCTGCGGATGTAAGCATATGCATCAGAATCCTTTTTGTCTATTTCACTGCCCAGTTCAGTGAATACTGGGCCACTGGAGTGGAATGACAGCCTGCGCAGGTCAGGTGGACAAACAAACTGGTAGAAAAACAAGCCCAGCTATGATATTCAGCCCTCCACAGACATGATCCAAACATCTTTCGCTGCAGTTCTTCAGATTTAGGAAGTATTGAAACTTCATCCTGTAGGAGATCTTGTCAGAGTGGAAGCATTTCTGTCAGCGCAAGTACTGATGGCTTCCTGCTGATCATGTGACACTCTAGTGCCGTACCCTGCAAAGACAGAGCTGCTGCCTCTCTCCCGCCCCACCACACCACTTGCTCAGGGAGATCACATGTCAAAGATCCAAGCTGTAAGGTCTCATATTCTGGGCTGAATTTATCAAAGTGTTTCATTTTAATAAGAAAAAACTACCAATGGAATGGAACTGATGGTTCCACTGGTTTTCATGGTGATTTCCCAATATTAGTACTTTAGGCCCCTCTTTAGAATAGAACACTTGGATAAATCTCCCCTATTCAGTTGCCAAAAGCATCAATTCCTGAAACAAAAGATGTTGTGCACAGATGAGGCTGTATAAAGGTTTACTATTTGAAATGCCACATAGAGGCCTGGCAAAATCTCTTCCAACTAAAATCTCATGAGATTGAACATGACCAATGCACTAATGTATTTTAGTGTAATATGCAGTTATGTGACTGGTGAAAAGAATGTGCTTGTTTAGAAGTAAACATACATACTGACACAAGTTGTCTATCAGCTAATCAGGCGTGCACATAATTCAGAAGCACTTAGATTATTTTGTATGCCTTGTGTTCCTTCACAGTTACATAGTTGCGGACTAATATAAGACTCCAGCATATCAAGGTCATCCTTTTACACATCTGTGTTACCAGTTTTGATGTAAAAAAAGGCAAAAACACAATTTAAAGTGATTTTCCATAATTTGACAAAACGTGACAAAATCCCTCAACTCCAAAATAACAGTTTTTTTCCCCCTGGATTAACAAGATGTTATCCCATAAATTAACTACAAAAATTTTCAAAGACTGAAACGAACTCCATTACGAGCGACTCCGGCCAAATGAGCGACAATACCCACCTTTCTAGTGGGAAATACGCACCAAATCAGCCCAAACACTGCAGATCTACACTTTGAAACCTCACCAAGTTTGCAGATGCCCTTTTTGTTCCCGGCGACCACAAAACCCAGCGCCGAGGATCTTTGGCCTACCATGCGGGAACCCCGCGGCTGACACGAGACGTCAGCTTAGAATCAGCCATCAACTTTTTTACCAAGAGCCTAATTGGTGAACCTCCCAACGATACGATGGGTCACAAAAACCCACGACTAACCAGCCGACAGCCAGAGACAACCAGGACATTGGGCAAATGCTTACCTCGGTGCCGAGCACAAAAGAAATAGCGCCCTCACGGCCTGAGGCCCAACTCACTCCACCTGAGGAAAGAATCCCAGATCTGGGGTCCCTGCTATCAGTGGACAGTGATGCTCTGCCCACAAAGGGGTACATATACAACTTGTTCCTTCACATGCAGAAGCTATATGCTACTGATATAACAGCAGTAAAAATGGAGATACAAACGGTAACCACCAGGCTTCACACGTCAAGGCCAACATAAACACCTTGAAACAGGGCATAGACAGCCTTGGGGACCCTGTCCAACATCTGTTGAATGGGTAAGGCAGTGGCTGAGTGACAGGCAACAGAGGGTTGTAGTCAATGGAGTATATTCAAAGCTTGGGCTTGTCACCAGTGGGGTACCTCGGGGATCTGTACTTGGACCCATTCTCTTTAATATTTTTATTAGTGATATTGCAGAAGGTCTTGATGGTAAGGTATGTCTTTTTGCTGATGATATTAAGATATGTAACAGGGTTGATGTTCCAGGAGGGATAAACCAAATGGCAAATGATTTAGGCAAACTAGAAAAATGGTCAGAGTTGTGGCAACTGACATTTAATGTGGATAAGTGCAAGATAATGCATCTTGGATGTAAAAACCCAAGGGCAGAATACAGAATATTTGATAGAGTCCTAACCTCAACATCCGAGGAAAGGGATTTAGGGGTGATTATTTCTGATGACTTAAAGGTAGGCAGAGAATGTAATAGAGCAGCAGGAAATGCTAGCAGAATGCTTGGTTGTTTAGGGAGAGGTATTAGCAGTAGAAAGAGGGAAGTGCTCATGCCATTGTACAGAACACTGGTGAGACCTCACTTGGAGTATTGTACACAGTACTGGAGACCGTATCTTCAGAAGGATATTGATACCTTAGAGAGGGTTCAGAGAAGGGCTACTAAACAGGTTCATGGATTGCAGGATAAAACTTACCAGGAAAGGTTAAAGGATCTTAACATGTATAGCTTGGAGGAAAGACGAGACAGGGGGGATATGATAGAAACATTTAAATACATAAAGGGAATCAACACAGTAAAGGAGGAGACTATATTTAAAAGAAGAAAAACTACCACAACAAGAGGACATAGTCTTAAATTAGAGGGACAAAGGTTTAAAAATAATATCAGGAAGTATTACTTTACTGAGAGGGTAGTGCATGCATGGAATAGCCTTCCAGCTGAAGTGGTAGAGGTTAACACAGTAAAGGAGTTTAAGCATGCGTGGGATAGGCATAAGGCTATCCTAACTATAAGATAAGGCCAGGGACTAATGAAAGTATTTAGAAAATTGGGCAGACTAGATGGGCCGAATGGTTCTTATCTGCCGTCACATTCTATGTTTCTATGTTTCTATCTCAGCTCTTCTTACTCCCACTTATCAAGCCGAATGGAGCAACTAGAGGACCGGAACAGAAACATTAAGATACGGGGAGTCGCTGACATGCTCCCCTCTGAGGAACATACACATTTCATCAGGCGCCTGACTGCCTTTCTGTTACCTACCAGATCAGCCAAACAATTCTCCTTTGATGGAGTGTCCCGCATTGCCAAGTCTCCCCAGGCTCCAGTTGCTTCGACCCAAGACTTCATACTATGTTGTCAGTCATATGCGATAAACAAAGAATTCTTACAGCCCGGAAGGAGAAAACACCACTGCAATTCGAATCACACTCGCTCACCTTCTTCCAAGATCTCTGCAGAGCCACACTACTCTGGAGAAAAACAATGCAACTAATCACTAAAACCCTTTAGTGCAGGACTGGAATACCGTTGGTATTATCACAGAGCCATCACAGTCACTAAGGACGGGAAACACTTCAAGGCCACTGGTCCGTTGGACTGCACAGCCTTCTTACAGGCACTGGGCCTATCAGCACCACCTGCAACACAACCATCACTGCCTACCTGGGATGTGAACAACATTACACCATTCGTACCTGAGACAAGGCAAGATACTGACAGATGACTGTCATCATATACCTTTAATCGCTAAGTTTTCTTTTTTTCATTTTGGGCCATTTTGGCCCACACAGAAAAAGGGTTTTTACTGTATGTTACTACTTTACGTTGAATTTGGGTTTTATGCATTTTATTTACTTTTACTATACCAGTTGTTATCAGTAGACACCTATCTGCTCCCCTTTTTGCCACATTGGTCCGCTCTCTGCTGAGCGCACTTAATTACACTTGACGAGAGGTTGTAGCCTCCTTATCTGTCTATACTTTCCTAAAATCTGTTTATTGTGCTGCCAAACTCTGAAATATCTCCACCTTCCCCCTTTCCCTCCCCCAACACCCCTAATTGCCCCATAGGTTAGGGGACCCATAGATAGGTCAGGAAAATTATAACGGCACCGATCGCTCCAACTAATACGCCATCCTGACTCGATGATAGCCTACGACTAGTCATTACTTATAAAATAGGGTGTCCATCATTGACATGTAATAAACCTATATGTATATGATGTACCGTTGAGTATCATTATGTCACTTTGTCTTGTTGATTTATGCTCCAGACCCGCCAAAATAAAGAATAAAAAAAAATTCTAGTTTAAAAAAAAAAAGCATCCAGATGTTAAAAATTGAAGCAGAAAGTGACAGAACAACAATTTAGTCAGAGCATTCCATAGAGATTTTACTTTATCCTTTCTTCTGCCATGGGTGAAAAGTATATTTTTTACAATTCTTTTGCTGCACCATTAGTTGTGGGCTGTAAAAGTGTACTTAAAAAATTACTCCACACACTATGACCACCTTTAGTGATTCGAATTGGTCATGGTGACTGGAGTCTGGATGTGCAGCAATTTGCTATGAAAGGAAGTTAAGAAGTTAATCCCCCTGTTACTGGAGGTGTATCTTACTTCTGGCAGTGTCATTTGGGTGTCATTAGCCAGTCTGAAACTAGAGTTCCTGGCTGGATCATATAGATTACAGGCATATGTTTATTTACAGACATTCATTGTCTGAAAGTGGTCAGCCAGTTAATATTTGGCAGGATCACAGCATACATCTTGTGCAACTAACTCTACAGAAGCCGGATGTCATAAATCCTGCAGGACCCAGGTAAGAGGGCAAATTGTTGCAAAATGGTTTTCCCTATTACAGGGAAGTTGGGCCAGGGTACTCTTCACATAATGAACGCTACAGCGGGGTGCTGACAGCTAATTTACAAATTAAAGGTCAAAATCATGTATATTGTTTGGCGTAAATTTTACTAATTGATTTTGATTTCACTACATTTCACTGTTTAGTGAGTAGAACACTAAATATATTATGTCATATTGTTACATTGTTCTGGGCAAACGTCCCAGAAACTAATTGCACTCAATGTTATCAGAATTTTGTTAATTAATACAGTTAAATTAACATTGGCAGAATGCTACTATGCAACTCTGTAAGAAAACAACAGGCAAAGTATTATTATGGGCATTTAAGTTTTATCAAGAAGATATTGATTCTTAAAGAAAACATATTTTTTTTTAAGTTTCAATTTCTTTTCAATAGTTTCAGTGGTGAGAAATGATGTTTCTTAAATGTCCCTGGTCTCTCTCATCTTCTTTTATTCCTTTGCCCTAGTTAGAACAATACATGGATTCTCTCTGGAATCAGGCCACTAAATGCATTGGGAACATTTCATATTCAGTTCTTACAGCTTACTGATTGACTTAATTCTCTCTGAAACAAAATATAGATACTGTTACAGCTCTCCCGGTAGGAGAGGGGTTACAGACGTATGAGACGTTCCCGTACCGAATGTAGAGGCAGCCACTGAGTGCTCCAAAGTACTGAACAGTAGCCGTACGGATGAGTCAGTTCCCCAAACAACCGACCAGCAAGTACACAAATCCAATATTTCCCCAAATAGCTGAACAACAACCATGCGAATGAAATATTCTTCCAAACAGCCGAACACGCATACTCCATACGAATAATCCCCCCAATGACGAGACAAAGCTCCGTATTGAGGGTCAGCAGGAATCTGTTTTAATGAGGGCTACATGCCCGGCTTTTATGCAAGTCCCTCATCTGGTGAACACTCCCCCAGGGGACCAAATGGGGGACTGTGACAAGGGCATTGAAGTAACCAATCACAGGGTACACACTTAGCCATTCCCCCTTTTTTACCCAGAACTCTCTGCTCTGTTCAGGGAGATAATTGTGAAGTAATTCAATTATCTCCCAGGACAGAGCCTCAGCGCCATTTTAGGTGACAATGACAAAAGACATAAAAATACATAACTGTTCCATTTTACAACATTTTACAGTCATTCAACAAGTCCCCAGATAGCTAGGATCTGAGCGCACCAAAGTACCGAATAGCGCTTAGATCCTATGCACTCAGTCCAATCGCCGTGGAGCCAAAGGGTTCACAGAGTAAGTTTGCATACGAATGAGCTCCACGGGATTCCTATCTGGGGTATGGTGTATTCAATCAGAAACTACCGAATATAGGGCCATTCGTGCCCTTCTACCGAACAAGAAGGGAGGTCGGCAGCTTCAGCTGTGTTTGTGCCAAAATGTGTCCGTTTTCAGTTCCATGAGCTGGGCGTCGAACACCGCTGTGCGTTCGCGTGTTTAAAAATGGCCGCGACCTCATGTTTGGCATACGAATGGCGGCCACCCAACTACTGTACCAATTAAGAGGGGTCTGCGGTTAACCACAACGTTCGGATGGGGCCAAGAGGTTAACCAGCAGCACACTTCTCTACTGGGTGGCCGGCCGTTCGGTAGTTTTATTCGGTTCTAAAAGGGAACGGCATAGGGTTCACAGGAACGGGGAAACACGAATCAAACAAACGAATGAGCAATACAGTTAGTTCAGTTCAAGACAGAAGGATCTGTCACAGATACTAGAGAAGAATTATAGTCAGTTGTTACTGGAAGACCAATCTGTGCTAGTTTATTTACAAACTGGAATTATCATAGAAAATTGATTAATTTCACACTAAACACACAAATTATTGTACTTTTATTCTATGGTTATAAATGCACACCTTTCTCAAACACTGTATTTCACTGCACAATGGTCGGTGTCACGAATGCACCCTACTCCAAGAGTGTGTGTGACGTAGTTGTGGTGGTAAAAGGGTTAAAGTTTACTATTTGTCTGCACTAGACCGGAAATAATGACAAAATCCCCCTTAACACCACCCACACTTAAACATAATAATATAACTAATACTATTTTAACGCTGCCACCACCAAGAAAATTTATAAATGTGGTGCCTTGGTCCCCCAGGTAAATCAATAATAAAAACTCACAAAATATTACTTATCACAATATCTATGTAATTGCAAAATATGAATTAGTGTCTTCAGGTAACGTGATTCTTAACCAGACAAAGGCAGAACTTAATAAATTTAAGAGACACTATAGTCACCAGAACAACTACAGCTTATTGAATTTGTAAACACTGGCTTTTCAGAGAAAAAGTAGTGTTTACATTACAGCCTAGTGATAACTTCACTGGCCACTCCTCAGATAGCTGTTAGAGATCCTTCCTGGGTCATGGCTGCCTAAAATACATCCAAACATTCAGTGTCTCCTCCCTCTGCATGCAGACACTGAACTTTCCTCATGGAGATTCATTGATTCAAGTCATCTCTATGAGGAGATGCTGATTGACCAGGGTTGTGTTTGAATCATGCTGGCTCTGCCCCTGATCTGCCTCTTTGTCAGTCTCAGCCAATCCTATGGGGAAGCACTGTGATTGGATCTGGCTACCACTTCTGATGATGTCAGTAGACTGCTTGTTTTTTTTAGGCAAACAACATGCAGATCTACAGCTTCAGGCTTGAATACAGTAAAATGTTGCTATATTTATGGAGGCATGAGGGGCCCAGGGGGGCTAGATAGTGGTTTTAACACTATGGGGTCAGGAATACGTTTGTGTTCCTGACCCTATAGTGATCCTTTAGTGTTTATTATGAGTAGAAAATAGTCACAGTGCATCTAAAAATATATGATAAATTATTTACACCAACAACAGATAAAAACAAAAAGGATAAAATACAGAAGTCCTAATTGCTCAGTTAGGTTTTCAAGGTACAACATCTTCCCAGGTGGTCTCTGGCAAGGAAGGATAATTGTGACTCACTCAGAATTAGATCTTGGCCCCAAGCAAGTACACCAACACCCCTCCAAATCATTGGATATATACCCCGTGGATAATCAAGTCTTGCCCAGGGGTGGAGTTAAGGAGTACCTACAGAAATAACAAGTGACCACCTCTTTTCTTCTAGACTAACGTCAATCCAAATGGAAACATTTGGATCTATGTTCTCTTATGTACCCACAACATAAATAATAATTGCCTCTATGACTTTGTTATTATTTTCCCATTCTATACATATGTTGCACGCTGGCCTTGCGATCCAGTAGGATGGACATCACAATTTTTTCCCCTATGGTCAAGTTAGGCCACTCATATTTGGGCTTGTTTAGAAGATGGCGCTTGTCACATTCCAAATATAACAAAAAGTAGGCCTACCTGTTATTATTCTGTGGGGTAAATATGAATGTTTTTTCCTTCCTTTGCATATGATCCTGGAACAAGGCTAATGGTC